TGTTCAGTGCAGCACTATTTACGGTAGCCAAGATATGGGAACAACCTAAGTGCCCATCAATAGACAATTGGATAAAGAAGTTGTGGGGTGTGTGTGTGTGTGTGTGTGTGTGTGTGTGTGTGTGTGTGTGTGTAATGGAATATTACTCAGCCATAAAAAGAAAAATGAAAAGACACAGATGAAATTTGCAATGACATAGATGGACCTAGAAGGTATTATACTAAGTGAAATTAGTCAGAGAAAGACAAATACCATATGATATCACTTATATGTGGAATCTAAAGAACAAAATGAACAAAACAAAAGCAGACTCATAGATACAGAGAGCAAACTGATGGCTGCCAGATGGGAGGGGGGATGGGGGCTGAGTAAAAAAGGTGTAGGGATGAAGAAGTACAAATTGGTAGTTACCAAATAGTCACGGAGATGTGAAGTACAGCATGGGGAATATAGTCAATAATATTGTAATAACCAAGTATAGTACCAGGTAGACTAGACTAATTGGGGGATCGCTTCATAAATTATAATATAAATGTCTAACCACTATGGTGTACATCCGAAATTAATATAAAGTAATATTGAATGTCAACTCTTAATTTAAAAAAAATTTTTTTTAAGAAAGAAAATACAGGAGGCGGGGTGAAGACTTCAATTGCAGTCTGTAATTTTATTTATTTATTTTATTATTATTATTATTTATGCCTACAGCACCTGGTCTTCCTAGGTGGTCTCCCATCCAAGTACTAACCAGGCCCGACCCTGCTTAGCTTCCAAGGTCAGACATCGGGCTTGCTCAGGGTGGCATGGTCGTAGACTATGGACTGTGGCTCCACTGGGGTGTGAACCCAGGACCTTCTGCGTGTAAAGCAGCCGTGCTAACCGCTACACTATGGAGCCACATCCCAGTCTGTAATTTTAAATAGGGGGTCGGGAGAGGCGTCATTAAGAAGTGACATTTGAATAAATACCTGAAGGAGGTGAGGGAGTGAGACATGCAGAATACGTAGGCAGAGAATTCTCAGCAAAGGGACCAGTGAATGCAAAGCCCTGAGGCAGGAACATGCCCAGCACATTTAAGGAGCAGTGGTCGGAATAGACTGAGCGGGGAGCAAAGAGGAGGAGATGAAGCCTGAGTGGCTGGAGAAAGAGGGTCCTGAAGGGCCTTGGAGGCCATTGTGATATCTTTGATTTTTCCTCCCCAGGAGATAGAGCATCTTAGGAAGATTTTGTCAAAGGAATGGCTCGATCTGACTTATTTTTAAATAGAATCACATGCTGCTGTGTTGGGAAAAGGCCAGAGGGTAACAGAATGGCAGCAGGGGTCTTTTATAAGGGCCGATAGTGGCTAAACCAAGATGTTAAAAGTTGAGATAGTGAAAGTGATTGGATTCAGAATGTATTTTGCACATTGAGCCAAAAAGATTTACAGAGAGATCAGAGATAAGAAAAAATTCTAAAATGACACCAAGGGTTTGGCCTGAGAAACTGGAAGGACAGGGTTGCCATTGACTGACATGGGGAAGACCGGGGCGGGGTGGGGGTGGGGGGCGGGTAGGAACAGCATTTTTGGGGGGAGATCAAGAACTCAGTTTTGGATGTGTTAAATGTGGGGTTTCTGTAAGACATCCAGAGGTGTTAAGTAGGGAGTTGCATGAGTGAAACTGGAACTCAAGGGAGAGGTCTGGGCTGGAGAAAAATTTGGTTGTCATCAGCAAAGTGATGGTATTTAAAGCTGTGAGTCTGGATGAGATCACCAAGAGAATGCCTGTAGACTGAAAAGAGATGAGGTCCTCCATGGAGCCCTGGGGCACTCAGGCACTGAGAGGTTAGCAAGTTAAGGAGGGACCAGCAAAGAAGACTGAAAACCAGGAGAGTGTGTGGTCTTCAGCTCCAAGTAAAGAAAGTGTTCAAAGAGCATCAAAGGATCAACTGTGTCAAATGTGGCTGATAGGCTAGCAAGACAAGGTCTGAGAAATGGCTGCTAGATTTAGCAATGTGGATGTCATTGGTGACCTTGAGAAAAGCAGCGTCATGAAGCAATGGGAGTGAAGGCCTGACCCACACAGGGTCTTGTGGCAGAGATGGGGAGAAGTGGACAGATTCTTTTAGGCAGGTGCCAGAGATAATGTGCCCTTGGGCCCAACAATGTGGTGAGGAAACTGAGGCTCAGACAGGTTCAGGGATTGCCCAAGGTCCCATGGGAGAGCCTAAGACCTTTATGCTCTGCTGCATCTGATGCCCAGGCACAGGTCCTTCCAGATTTCACTGGTCTCTTCACACCCTCATCGGGACCTAGTTGGAGATTCACCGTCTTGCCTGTGGGTGTGACTTGCCTAGGTCTAGACAAACACCCGCCTACCAGTTTTCCTTGCAACACCTGCAGCACGCACAGGTCCTAGGAGAATGGCAGTAAACAGACTTCACCCTCAGCATTCAAGCTTAATATTTATACACCCGGGACAGTCCTGGATTTCAGTGTTCCACAGACTAGTTCTATAACCCTGGCAGATCACTCCGTGGGGTAAGCTGTGACTGTCTCATCTGTCTCATCTGTATAATGGGGATAAGAATCTCTGCCTCTCAGAGTTCATATGAGGATGTAGGATGGGCATACCAAGGGTCTGTCTAGCTTAGTTCCTGGTATGTAATAAGCACTCACTGAATAGTTGCCACTACAGTAAGTCCTTACTTAGTGTCATCAATAAGTTGTGTAACTTCAAGCAAAATAATGTATAGTGAAACCAATTTTACAATAGGCTAATTGATATAAACAAGAGTTAAGTTCCTATAGCATCTCATTAACATTATAACGAAATGACTTTGTGTGATAGGACATTATTTGAGGACCTGCTGTAGTTTTATTGCCTATTGGAGTTGGAAAAGAATTTGCAGGTGGCCAGGAAATAGACTAACAGTGACCAGGCAGCTTTCTGGAGTTGATATGGTGAGAGCCGGGTGGACTGGCATGTAGCAGAGGGGCTAGCAGAGCTGGAGGTGCCACTGGGAGACAAAACAGGGCCTCAGCTGGGTCTCTTGCCTGGAGCTCAGGAAGCTGGAAGGGAAAGATTGAGGGGAAAATAGTATGAGCCTCAAATAATTTCATTGCGTAACATGTGTTACCTCATACTGCCTTAAACAGAGGCAAGAGAATGTAATGGGTAAGAGCATGGGCTCTGGTGACAGACAGTAGGTTCAAGTCCAGCCTCTGTCACTTACCAGCTGAGTGACCTCAAATTACTTTATCTCTTTTCGCCTTACTTTCTTTGTATGAAAGATATTTATAGTGTCTCCTTCATAAATATTGTCAGTGAGTATTAAAAATAACGTGTGAAATGCTTTGAACGTAGGAAGCTATCGGGAAATAATATAACTGAAAATGGTTATTATCACTAACACTCTTCACAGTCCTATGAGGTAGGTACTATCCATATTTTATAGAAGGGAAGCTGTGGTACTGACAGGGTATCTTAGTCTGTAACTTAGTCCAAGGTCACACAGTTAATGGGGAAACCAAAGTTCACATTCAAATAGTCTGCCTTCAGAGCCCATACTCAACCACTGGACACCTGTCTTCCTCAAAAAGGTGCCCAGTCCCAAAGGCGACTCTTTAGGAGTGTCCTGTCCCTGCATTCACAATACCACCCACAGAGATGGGAAGTTTGCCACCTCCTGAGAGGGCCAGAGTTCCCAGAGCAGAGGACCCAGTATGGTGGACGCACCCAGTAAGAGCAAAAACTACTTCCCTGGATTCACCTTCTCATGGACCCTGGCCTTTCTCCCTAAGCCCAGGTCAGTGACTATATGTCCCCACTGGTCCCTTTAGTGCCCAAAGGGTAGCAGCAGATGGTACCAGGGCTCAACACTGCAGAAGCTTCTTTTTGACTTCATAAGAGCCAAAAGGAAAGGGAGGAAAATGTTGTTTGCTGGCACATTAATTGTGCCAGGCACTTCA